CGATACATTATAATCTCTATGCCGCTTTAACACCTCACACTTTTACCACCTTCCTGTCTTATCCTTTGCCTTCCTCCAAAGCTCCAACTTAATTCCTATCCTTGGCACCTGTTCTAGGATCTATCCTAACTTCTGACTTACAGTCAAAGGAATCCCTGCTCCTATGGCTACAAAGATATAGGACAGGAAAAGTAAAAGAAGTCTGTTCTTAGGCTCTAAATGGAAACACTGATCATATTTCTTCATTTAATAAAAATGTACATATGTATGTGCATATATATATATACATATTTTATTTTTTTATATTTATACACACATATATAAAGGTAAAAATTGGGGTTAAGATCATTACCAGCTATGATTTGCAAGTTAAACAAAATATTATAGGCAAGTCTGAGAATACTGTCTCTACAGGGAAATACATTCAGAATAAATTTACTTTGAATGCACATGTCCAAAACTTTTTATCATCTATAATAAAATCATTGTATATGTTACTTACACTCTTTAGAAAAAAGTCTCTTTCTTTTACCCTGTCCACCTTCTGCCCCTCCTCCAATTTCTTCATTTTCTTCCTCAAACTAGAAGTGAAAATGTATACATAGAAATGTCAAGTAATTGCACTGCATTTAATTTTTTAATAATTTCTCCCCCCCCCCATTTTCAACAATGATATGCTGGAAAGCCTAAAGCAGCATTTTAGGGCCTTGAAGCCTATTAGTCCAATCTCTGATTCACGCAGGAATGGCTTCTACACTGTTCCCAACAAATAATTCTACTGCCTGTCCTGGAAGAATTCCAATGACCATATATATTTTTTTAACCAACTAAGTTGGCCTGCTAGACAGTTTTACTATTAGAAGAGTTGGTGTTGAATCAAAGCGAACTAAACTATACAATGCTAGGAACTTTCCTTAAGTATGCCTTAATCCCTTTTTGTGACAAGAAAACCGAACCTCAGTTAAATAACAGGCTCACGGAAAATACAGATTTTGAAATGCAGGCTCCCTGACTTTCGGTCCATACTTTACAGTAAGTATATAGTTCTGATAGCAGTTAAACTGTTGGTTCATAATGAGCGCTAATAATTATTAGCTTTGACCTCTGGTGATTCTCCAGGCGTTACAAAGGGTGTGTGGCCGATATGGACCAAGAGCAAAGGAGAAGGCGCCACTTTCCCATTCTTCCCTCACGTCCTGCCCCACGTACTAAAAAGATGAATCGAAGGGAAAGGCTAGCACCGCGGGTAGTTCCCGACTCTCTCCGCTGAACTCACTAAGGAAAACAGACCCGATTCCGAACTCGGCCTCCGCTACTGTACCCGAGGGACTGAAGAAAAGAGCGGGTTGGAACAGAGGTGCTCACTCACAGTAGGGTCCTCTTCCTCGTCCGCCATCCCACCAGGCAGCCCACAGAACCCGGCCCGCCTCGCTTCGAGCGAGTTTTACTACTTCCGCCGCCTCACTTCCGGTGACGCGCGGGCCGGGGCGGGGCCTCGCGGGCCTGGCCTGCCCGAGAGGAGCTTGTGCGCCGCGCCTAGGAGCGGTACCAGGGCGCTGCTTCGGGCGAGACCCGCGATTGTAATCCCTAAAACGGAATTCAACGTTAGCAAAGAAAAGGGAGTCATGGGCTTGGGGATATTGTTCTTCACTACTAGTTCTCGAAGGGGCGGTTCCACCCCTTAGACCAAGGGTTTAAATTTTTATGAGGAGTTTTTGGTCAAAACGGTGATCGAGAGAACTACGGGCATTAGAAGGCTAAAGCTAGGGATATAAGATGTTCCGCGATGCAAGAGATGATGCCACACAAGGAAAAATTGTCCCACGATACACTATTTCTAAATGTCCTGCCAAACATTCATGTGAATGAAAAATCTGTTTATAATTATCTGAGCCTGGAACCTAACTTCGTTTATATATACACACACATATAATGAACGCATACATAGCCCTGCCCCTGACTCCTGGCACACAGCTCCTGATACCCTTGTAAATTCCTAAGCGGTAAGAGCACTAGGAGCATCTTTTGTTCTAATGAGGAGACTCCTGGATGGGGGCTGGTCACCAGAACAGAAAACCATGATTAGATGCTTGGAATTTTCAGCCCCATTCTCCAGAGAGGTGAGAGAATTGGAAATGTAGTTAAGCGATCGTACCTACGAGAGGCATAAAAATCCCAATAGTAGTAAGCTCAGAGAGCCTCCAGGTGGAGGAAAACATCTCCGTTGAGGGAGGGTCTTGTACCTTAACTCCATGGAGATAGAAGCTCTGCAGTCAGGACCCTCCCAGGCCTCACCTTATGTATCTCCTCATCTGGCTGTTCATCTGCATCCTTTATCATGTCCTTTAATAAACTGGAAAACATAGATGTTTTCCTGAGTTCTATGAGCTGTTCTAGAAATAATTGAAAACAAGGGGCAAGAGGTCATAAGAACCTTCAATTTGTAGCCAAGATAGAAGTTGTGGGTGTCCTGGATACTTACTACTGTCGCTAGCATTCAAGTGGTGAGGAGGTGGTCTTTTGAGACTGAGACCTTAACCTGTGGGATCTGACACTATCTAACTTGCACCGTGGAGATAGCGCAAGAATTGAGTTAAATTGTAGGACACCAACAATCTGGCGTTGCAGAATCACTTGGTATAAGAAAAAAACAAAAACAAAAAACCCACACATTCATGACCAGAGTGTCAGAAGTGAACTGTTCTGTATAAAAGTAAAGAACTGAGAATTTTTCCCAAAACAGCAACTACTCTGAAATTGGACAGATATTATACATTGTTTTGTTTGGAACGTATCAAGAGCTGTGAACAATTTCAGGAAATAATGTCACCAAGGGCCACATCGCTTATAATAATTTGAATACCCAATACTCACTGGAATCAGTTCATTGTAGCTCCAGCATTCATGATGATTCAATATATAGGTGCGAGCATCTAAAATCACTATACCCTCTAGCATAGTCATGCCTGAGCATTTACATATTGAAACATATTATTATAATTTACTGTCTTATTTTACCTTTACAGTTAGAGTATTATATATTATTTTAAAATTATATGAGTAGTTAAGTAGATTAGTTATTTACTATGGTGTAACAAATTATCCCAAAACTTAGTGGCAAAAACAATAAACATTTATTACACAGTGTCCGTGAGTCAGGATTCTGGGTGCACTTTAGCGGGATGCCTCTAGCTCAAGGTCCCTTCTGTTGCAATCAGGGTGTTGGCTGGGGCAGCAGTCTCACCTGAAGTATTGATGGGGGAGGATCCACTTCCCAAATTACTCATGTGATTGTCAACAGGATTCAGTTCTTTCAGGTTGTTAGACTAAGGGCCTCAGTTCTTCACTGGCTGTTCCGAGAGGCCTCCTTTAGTTACTTGCCACATGGTCCTCTCTGTAGGGTAGCTCACCGCATGGCAGCTGGCTTCTCTCAGAGATGAGAGAGAGAACCAGGAAGAACAACCAAGACAGAAGCCACAGTTTGTTTTTGTTTTTGTTTTGTAACCTAACTTTGGAAGTGACATCCCATCACTTCTATTCACTAAAAATTAATAAGTGCAGCCCACATTCAAGGACAGAGGGTTATACAAGGATGAGAATACCAGAAAGCAAACATCATTGAGGGTTAGCTGAGAGGCTGCCTACAACAGTAGCTTATACGATCTGTAAATTTCATTTCAGAATAATAAAGGAGACATTATATATATTTGTTGTTTAAGGTAGATTGTTGAGTCTGATTGGGTTGAGAACTGCTGTGTTAGGTAGTGATGAAATGCTAGCCTTGTCCAGAGGGGATCTGGTACAGAATATTCAGTGTCCATTATCAGGGGAGTGGATAGGTGAAATGTGCTAACGTACACCAAGGAGTACTATGCAGCAATTGGAAGCAATTAACTAGTGACACGGACAGAGCTTAGAAACGTAGTGCTAAATTTAAAAAGTAGAAAACACATTGAGATCTATAACACAATCCTATTTATGCAAATTAAACATATACATATTTTACAGGAACATACAAAAATGCATGGACATTAAATACATTAGAAAGATTGCAGCGTCGGAGATATGGGAGTAGAGATGAAAGGAATGCACAGGTAAACGAGTGAAGGACATTGGAAGGGCCAATTATGACCGTATGCCTTGAACTATGGAGTGTAAATAATTCCACCTTCTGAACTGGAGAGCCAACAAATAAAGGGGAAAAAAAATTGCAGTGTAATGAGCAGAGCAGAAATAAAGCACAGAAAGTGAAAAGTCATGGTGTGCTTCTACAAGGTGTTTTGGGTGAATTGCCGTAGCCCAGATTCTTGGGTGGTGTGCAGGAAATGAGGCTGGAATGAAGCTGGAGTTATACTGTAAAAGGCCTTGTATGTTCTCTTTGGGACTGAACAAACTGTCAGAGTTCCTGGGCATTATTTAGGCCCCTATCTTTTAAAAAAAAAAAAATCACTTTAGTGGGAGACTACCTAGGATGAGAACGATCGGAACCTGAATTAAGAAGAAGAAAGAACTTTAAGAGAAGACTTTATAGAATGTTGTGTCTGAATGAATCTGAGCACTGTGGATAGAGACGGTCACATCCAGATTAAT